TTCATGCTTTAGACTTCTTCACAAAATCTTGGAGATGGAGAAGGATATAAGGGATCTAAGAATTGAGATGGAGAAGCTGATGAATATTCCTCACCGGTCGCCCGAAAGGAGAGAGATGGTGATGTCGGAAATCCAGAAGATGACCAGAAAAACTGCCAAGACGACTTCAGTAAATGTATTAGCCTCTGAGAAAGAAGACAGCCAGTCTACGGACCTAATCAAAACCGAGAACCTGTCTCATGTGCGGGAGAAAAATGACCGAAGGACAGTTAAAAAGACGAGGAGGCGTCTCAAAGCGTCCCAAAATGACCAAGTAGGTCAGAGCGTCAGCATGAGAGAGCAGAGTCCACACAGAATGCAAGCAAAAGCCTCACTGCCACAAGAGGTACCACATGACCAAGAATCCTCGATAAACGAGGAACCCTGCGGTAGCTATGCTATGACAACCGTCTCTGAATAGGCGATTGATAACAACAAAAATTTTCGCGAATGTGCGCATAAAGATAAACGACAGCGCTCTACTGATCGCAATAAATGCTTCATCGTAAAGGGTATGCCTGAGTCTTCTCTAGACATCCCAAAGAACAGAATAAACCTCGACATAGGATTATTCCAGCAGTACCTCAAATCCCTATTAAAAGAGAACGAGAACATCACTGTCTTTAAGGCTTTCAGAATAGGATACATTAAGAATTTGAAGTGCGAGTCGGGTCATCACAGACCATTAAAAAATATTCTCGAAAATGAGGACCAAGCTCTGCTACTGCTGAACAAGAAACCGGCACTGCGAGATGCCCACTCAACAATATTCTTCAGCGGTCCTGAATGCCTCGCCTCCTAACTGCCAACCATCGGCAGCTTTTAACATGCCCGAGTCGATCACGCGCATTCTACGCACAAAACAGTCTCGTTGGATACCTTCGGATCCAATGCGCCATCGAACCGACAGCTTCTACCTCTTCTCCCACTTTCTCGGGAGAAATGGAGGGAACTCAGGGTCGAACTCCTCAGAAGATACAATTCCGGCGAGAAAAACCTAAGAATAATGAATGGGAAATCGCAAATGTTCGGAGCTCATTTCTCTGGAGACAACCAATGACAATGACTATAACGAACAACCAGATAATAAGAAAAGAACGCTCCTGTCTGCCAAACCGACCAGAGAAAACGACGACCAACACACTGACATCCAGTTCAATTAAACAGCAGTAGACTCGGAAGGGACGATAGACCTGAAAACTCGCACAAAAATATCTAGCAACTTTGACCCGAAAATCGTTCGGGAAACAGCCCTGGCTAAGCTCCGCTTTCTTTACGCCATTACTCAGAGTTTTTTCCAGATGCTGGATGAGCTGAAAGTTTGGATATCAGATACGCAGCCGTATGTCATTTCTATCACAGAGACTGGGTTCCAGACCGAAGCCTTGGGTGCCGAAATTATACTCGATGAATGCCGACTTTTTCGCCGGGACAGACAGTATAAAAACCGAGGGGGACTAGCGGTCTACGTCAAGAGAGGAATCATCGCGTCAGAACACAAAACCGATTGTTCCCGCGACTGTGAAGCACTGTGGTTAAAACTGAGGAGGCGTGGCGCACCTAATCTGAATTTCCTGACCGTATACAGGCTGCCCAATCAAACTGCTAAGGTTGACGAGGCGATGTTTGGGTTAATTAAAGAGGTGTCGCAAAACCAAGAGGTACTGACAGACGGAGACTTCAAAGCACGCATGGTTGACTGGAACATTGTATTAGTAAATGGTTCGCGAAATTCATTTGATTCCAGGCTCTTGAAGCTAACGGCTAATCTCCTTCTGGTACAAAACGTCACGTTCCCAACCAGGATCAGAGAGGACCAAAGAACAAATTGTCTGGACCTCGTCCTTACAAAAGACGCAATTAGGCCTGGCGAACTTAGGTTCATTACACCGATTGGTATGAGTGACCATGTCATGCTGTTTTGGAAAAACCGCCTATGCAGCCAACAAGTGAATACGACTGAACCTCGGCTGAATTTCTGGCGAGGAGATTTTGCCGTCATGACAAGGGAATTGTTGGCAGTAGACTGGACCGATGTTCTTTCCGGACATCCAGACGTTGATTGGAACACCCTCAAAGGAGATGTAACCAACATCATGCATCAAAACTGTCCGATAAAGAGATTCAAAAAGAATAATCGTCCTGCCTTGATAACGCGGAAAGTAAAGAAAGAAGTAACCCGGAAGAACAAACTATGAAGAAGGTGTGTAGCAACAGAACAACCATCTTATTACAAGCAGTTTCGTCAAAAGCGAAACGAGGTTAGGTCGGCTATCCGCAGTTCTCGGAAGGAGTATGAAACGCGAGTTATGGAACGGCCGTCGGTAAGCCAAAAGGGCTCTTCAGTTACATCAACAGTAGGTTAAAGAACAAGGAGACGGTCTTTTTGTTGAAAGGGGAAAACAATGAGGATATCATCGAAAATGACGCTAAGGCAGAACATCTAATTCTGATTTTCGTATCTGTTTTCACTGAGGAAACTGACTTTGACGAGGCTGGATTGTTTGCTGGGACAACGGACGAAATAATAGAAAACATCGATTTGGGAATTGATGCACTGCATGCGATCGGAAAACTCATTCGAGCAGAAGCTACTATAGTCAGTTACTGATGAATTCCTTACTTAACATGTCACAATGAACACCCGATTCCGAAGTGGACAGCAGTCAAACTGTTTGGACGTCATCATTACCAGGGATGAAAACTGCGTTATTAGACGGGCCTCTAATGCTCCCCTGGGCCGATGTGACCGTTGTGTTCTAGTTTGGGAGGACAGTCATTTTTCTGAACCCACGATTCCAACCGAAAGGGAGAGAAATTTATGGAAAGGGAATTATTCCAAAATGAAGGAACTGCTGACTAAGATGGAATGGAACCCTGCGAATGTATCTGACCCAAACACCGGCAGGGTTTTCGTTAAGAATGTGAGCTGGTACTTGGTAGAAAACTGTTGCCAGCTCAAAGGGAGATCGTGCGTCTCCCGACCAGAATGGGCGACATCCGAAATAAAAAGAAATCTCAAAAAGAAAAGGAGACTGTGGGAGAGGTACGTCAAATATCAACAGTCCAAACATCTCTCGGAATTTAAGAAACAGCGAAATAGGTGTCGGAGTCTCCTCAGAAAAGGAAGACCAGCATTTGAGTCTCCGTGCGATGGATTCGCAAGTGACCAATCAGGCCGATGCGTCGGGGGAAGGTGCGACCGCAATGGGAACAGGTATTAATCGAGTCCACATCACTGGATGTTGCAGTGTTTGTTGTGTTGGTAGAGAGTAAAAGGACATCAGACATTCCATCGGTGGGGGGAATGTATGAAATCATAGTGGTAATGTCGGCCCCTGTGGTCGATTCAGAGTTCTGGGCAGGGCGGATGCTGCCGGCGGCGGCTTGACAGCGACAATGTAATCGGCGGTGACGAGGGTGGCTGTCGGCGCGGGGTTTGCGGCAAGGGCGAGAGTGGGAGAAGAGGTAGACGCTGCCGGTTCGACGGCGCATTGGATCCGAAGGTATCCAACGAGACTGTTTTGTGCGTAGAATGCGCGTGATCGACTCGGGCCTGTTAAAAGCTACGGATGATTGGCAGTAAGGAGGCGAGGCATTTGTGATTTGCTAGCCTCCCGTTTGGCTTGGGCAACGGCGATCTGATTTACTTTCTAGATGTCAGCGCCGGTCTTCACTTATCTTCTCCAGGCCGGTCTGTTCTGAGCGAGGTCCTCCTAGGTCTCTGGACTGATGTGCAATCCCTTAAAAGTATTCTTCAATGTGCTCTTGCAGTGTCGTTTTGGTCCTCCCGGTCGGCGACCATTGGTGGCGAAATCGCCATGGAATAGTTGTTTCAGTAGACGTGTGTCTTCTGCCCTGACTAAATGGCCACTTCAACGTAACTGCAGTTGCCTCAGCATGACGTGAATGCTAAGGATTCCCGTTCGTTCTAGGACTTCCATGTCGGGGATCCTGTCTTGCTATCTCAGTTTTAGCATTCCACGGAGGCAGCTGAGATGGAAGTGGTTGAGTTTTTTGCCAAGGTTGGGGTAGACGGTCGAGGTCCCCGCTCCATAGAGAAGTGTCGTCAGGACGACGGCATTGTACATCCTCAGTTTGTTATTCAGCTGGAGGTCGTGACGATTCTACACGGAGTTCTATAGCCGGTCGAAGGATAGGCTGGCTTTGAAGATCCGGTAGGCCACTTCGTTTTCGATGCTGATGAAGTGGGACATTGTGTTGCCTAGGTGGTTGAAGTTACCCACGGTCTTCAATCTTGTGCCGTCGACGCGGGTGCGAAGACACTGTATTCAGCGTTCGATGGCTGCTGATGCATGACCACCGTTTTGTCCGCATTTATGGTCCGTCCGCAGTGGGCGCAGCCGGATGCGAAGATGTCACTGTTCCGGTGCCTGTCTTTTCGGTCGAGCCGTTAAGTGCGGAGCCATCAGCGAAGAGCGGATCGTAGACAGTAGTTGTGGAGAGACGCGTCGGGGCCTGCATTTGCCGTATGTTGAGAAGGCACCCGTCAGTTCTGTAGGCAATGCGTATCCCTGGACGCCCATCACGGGAGGTGTTTATCAGAATGGCAGAGAGCATGAGATCAAAGAGGGAAGAAGCAGCCCTGCTTCACTCTATTGGTGGCTGCAAATGCCCCTAAGATTGCGTCGTCCGCGACGCGCGTCATCATCCCGTCGTAGAGCTGACGTACCATGTGCGCGAATCCCTCGGAACAGCCGAATTTCTGCATGATTCCCCATTGTCTCTCGCGATTCACCGTGTCGAAGACCCTGTCAAGCCGAAGAAGGTGGTGTAGAGGTTGGTTCGCATCTCCTAGCGTTTCTCCTGCAGCTGGCGAGTGGCAAATACCATGTCAGTGGCACCCCGGCATCGTCGGGAATCACATTGGCTTTACGGCAGGAGTCCTTGCTAGAGGTGTCCGGTGAGATGATTGAAGAGGATGCGGGCGAACATCTCCCCGGCATTGTTGAGCGGCGAGATGGCTCTGTGACTATCGCAGACTTGTTGGTTAGCTTTGCACTTGTAGAGGTAAACAATATTTGTGTTCTTGAAGTCCTGAGGAACTTTCCCACAGTGCCACGTCTGAAATAGCGTTGTGAGTTGGTCCATCAGGCAGTGGCCGCGGTGCTTGTCGATTTCGGCTGGGATTGCATTGAAGCCTGATGCTTTTCCGCTAGAGGGTTGTTGTACGGCGCGAATGATTTCTGAAGGGGGGGGAGCGGGAGGTTCAGGTCGACTTTGATTTCCATTTGGAGGAGCCGGCCAATGGCGGCGTCGGAGATTTTAGAAGTGCGGCTAAGGGCGTTTCTGAAGTGCTCGGCCCAACGCTTCGGAAACTGCCGCCTCCGTCAAAAGCGCTGATCCATCCGACCTGAGAAGTCGTGCAGTTTCTTTGATCGGGGAACTGTAGATCGCCTTGATTGCAGCGAAGAAAGTCTTTGAGTCGTTGCGGTCAGCATATCCCTGGATCTCCTCGGCCTTGCAACCGCTGCCGAGCTAAGCGACGACATTGGTAGAAGGCTGCTTTGTTCGCGTCGGTTGGCGGTCGAGGTGGGCTCTGTGCAGCCTGCTTTTCCCTGCCAGCAGGTTACTGGTGGCAACGTCATTTTCTTCAAACCAGTCTTGGTGCTGGCGACGTGCGCGGCCGAGGACAGCCAGGGGAGTCGAGTGAACGGCGTCCCGTAGTCGGCACCATTGAGTCTCCACGGAGGCGTTTTCATTTACTGCTGGCAGGTCTTCTGGCTGCTGGGTCGGTTGATTGCTGAAATGAAAACAGTGAGGGGGGAAAGACGTCAAAGCAGTATTCTGTTTACGTGGGGTTTGCTTACACTGTGGCCTCCTGTGGGACTGCAGACGGAGCCTCATCTTGGATATGACGAGGCGGTGGCCCATCCAACCATCGGCGTCGCAGATCGCCTTGGTCACCATCACGCCCTGTCGATCTCGACGTCGACCGAGAACATAGTCCAGCAGCTGCCAGCGCCGCAATCGCGGGTGCACACAGGTGGCCTTCTTCTGCATCGGCAGGCGGAAGAATGTGTTGGTCAGCAGGGGTCGGTGTTCAGCGCAGGCCCGCAGGAGAAGGAGGTCATAATAGTTGCAGCAGGTGATTCGGTGAGGACCCATCACTCTTCTCCAGGCGGCATAGTCCGTCCTGATGCGGGAACTGAAGCCACCAAGGACAATCAACTTATCCGCCTTCGGCACAGACGTCAGGAGGGCGTGCAGGTCATCGTAGGCCGTTGTTGGGCGTAGGCACTGATGGTGGTGGCAAATTCACCTCCCTAGAGAGGCAGACGGAGGCTCGTCAGGCGATCGTTGATGCGCTGCGGCAGACAGGACATTCGTCCCACGATGTCGTCCCGGGTGGCAAAGGCGACGCCCGCGTCACGTTGCTCTGCCTTGGGATGAACGTTCCAGAAGGTGCCGGCAGCACCTACCTCCTCCGGCTGGCCTTGTTTGGAGAGCCCTGTCTCGCTGAGTGCAGCGATATTTAAATTGTAGCGTGCCAGTTCCCGAGTGACTAGCGCCAACCTTCGCTCCGGCCGGTTGTTCCTCAGATTATCTAAAAGGGAATGAACATTCCAGGCTGCCAGAGAGAGCGGACTCACCCTAGCTGCCTGTGGGGGTGCGGCGGTGGGGAGGAGGTGGAAGAGATAGGGCATTTTGTTTTGTGTTTCGATTTCGGCCACATGTTTAGCGAGCCACGGTCTGGACACAGATGTCGTGAACTCTGCTTTGTTTGCGGCATCTTTTATGGTCCCCTCCCCCTCGCGGGGAAAGCAGTGCCCTCCCTAAATTGGGCTGCTTTGTCGCACCAGACGGATACCGCTCTTCAATATGGGTCACAGGGTTTAGTGAGAAAACAACCAATGGCCCGCGCCGCGAAAGTGATTGCTGTCGCTCTCGCCGTGTGACTTCCGACCGTGGGGTTAGTCGGTAGGGTAGAGGGAGTAGGGAAGGAGGAGAGGGGGGAGATAAATGGGAATAGTCTAGGAGAGAAGAAGGGTGAAGGGCGGAGGACGGGAGGAGGAGGAGGCGGCGGCGAGCGAGGAGGGGTACTGGTAAAGAGGTGTCGTCTGAAGGGGTATATCGGGATACCCACACCTGATCTAGTCCGCTAGTCGAGATTGTCATCGAGGAGTGGCCGCTAGACAGAGCCTAGCTTCGAGGAGCCACAGGCGAGAACTGGGTGCCAGTTAATATATGCTGGGCATAGTCACGCTTGAACGGAATTAAGCGACCCACTGCGACCTTTACCTGGACCCACAGCTGGACACCCTTACGACCCGAGGCCATAATTACCCTTTCAATGGCTTTCAGGATAGGACGCTCTCCTTTTCACCAGGATGCTCTGATTCAGGATCCGGCCTTGTCCCTGTTCTTCAACGATGACTATCAACAGGTGCTTAGATAGCAACTATTTTAATTCTCGGATCGTTGTGATGGTGTTGTTGACAGTCATCATGGCCATGTCTGGCGTTGTGTCAAGGTCATTCGCCTTCGCAGCGAGTGATACTAGATGCCTTGACCTGCAGCCACCCAACCGACTTCAATTCGGTCACAAGTCCACTCACAGTCGCAGCTGCCCATACACCACATCACCCTCCTGCGGACACAGCGTAAGCTGCTTTAACACCACCGCTCGACAAATGCAACACACTACCTTGATATCACTTCAGATCGTCCCACAAACCTACAAAAACGGCTGTCACCACTGTCTCATGGACCCTCACGCAAGACTGGGCTCAGTCAGCATCAGCCCTGGCTTCGCCAGTGGCCACTGCCCCCTAAGAGGAGATCTCAGGCTTCTCTATACAATAAATCACTCATTCTGGTGACGTCTGTCTTCTCCTACGAATCGAAATTCGGCCCAATGTCTATAGCGCTCTGAGTAAACCCTACACCGCTTAGACGCAACAGTGACATAGGAGCGTGTTCAGTTATTTATGAGTAAAGATTAGTCATTGATCGATCTTATCCTCTTCCATCTATCCTATATGCCTGCCCAGCTGGCACCGTTCGTTCGTATTGGCAAAAGTGGTGTAGAGTTGTCACCTAAGGTGCGCCCATGCGCACAAGTGCGATACTTAGGCCGTCGTTACAGTCGTAGGTAAATTTCGCAGCATGCGTGCACATATGACAAAAGGGCGGTCGGATAAAGTGTGAGTACAGTGTGCGCAAGGAAGGCGTGCGTGCTGGGAGTTGAGCGGGAAGGCGGACACTGGCTCTCCAGTCGTGTTGCCGTAGCTTTCAAAGTGCCGGGACAGATTGTTGCACTTTCCAGTTTGCTTCGGTGGTGGATGCCAGTCACATTTCCCGTGACACTGGGCAGGCCGAAGTTTAAGCAACCGGAGGCGAAGGGATCAGGGCTCACTGCATGTACACTGCGATCTTGACGTTCAGCACAGTCACCCACTATCAAAAAAGTCGTGCGCCCCAACATTGAATGTTTTCGTCTCAGAAGACGAAGATGCGATCACGGGAATCATAAATGTACTGGCCTGACGTTTCGTATCCTCGCCCGAACCCATCATCAGGGTTTCGTTTCAATTAGCATGCATTGGACTTTGAACAGTTCCCTGTCCGTTTGTTAGTAGGTATCGATTCTCAGCTGTTTGCCGTAGTGAGCGCACAGCGGTACTGGGAAAACTGCAGGGTGAAGAGGGTGGTAGCCCGTGTCTAACCATATGTCACACCATTCGTAACCAAGCATTTTCCGTGACGTTCGTCATGCCGTTGTGCAGTCCTCTGAGTACCTGAATCCAGTCAGTGACCAAACTTGTGAAATGCTAGCTGGGATTCTGGAATGCGTTTTCGACTAGGAAGGATTACTTAAGTGGGGTCGTGAAATTTACTATCGCGTAACAAAACGACAGGATGTTTCAATCACAGCAGGATGCCAACTTTTGAACGCGCTTCTTTTCTGTGGCCTGCAAAAGCCGCACTCGGTAAAAGGACGACTGCTGAAGTAGTATGACTTCTCTTCATCGGTTTTCGGTGCCCTCATGAATGAGGATATACTTTATAGAAAACATGCCGAAAATATCCTTTCTCGTACTCATTTAGTGTCAATTCGCGTCCTCAAATTCTGTACTCGGTGTATATTTAGAGTTTACGGTCTACAAGCGGTATATTTTTCATTTAAGGGAAATCATATATTCCTCAATTCCATTGGGAAAATATCGTATAGGGCTCATGAAATTTTGCAGTGAACATAGACTATAATGCATGCTTCACAAGGAGCATTAATAAATAGGCAGATACAATACTATCTTCATGGACATTTCACGTGGTTTAAAATTCGACAATTGCAAACTTTGAAGCTTGAGTATACCTTTTCTCCGAGTACACGACTCGAGGACGTGAGTTACCGCTGAACAAGTGCAACAAAGGATATTTTGGGCATGTTTTCTATAAAATACACTTGAATCTATAAGGGCATGGGAAATCGATAGAAGATAAATTGTACCACATAGGTGGTCACTTGTTACGGAGTGCAGACTTTGCAAGCGACCGAAAATAAAAACATTCGAAAGCCGGCACTCAGGCGTTCCCTAAATATCTAATGACTCGACTGTATAATGATTTTACAACCCCACTTTATTTGTCCTTCCTACTAGCAAACGCATTTCCGAGTTTCGATTAAAATTTCATGAGAAAGGTCACCGAGCCTAATTCACTTGGTGCGTCTGAAATCCAGCAAGACTCCGGAATTCACCATGGTTGGCAATTTCGAAGGTATATGAGACCGGTTCGCATGTCACATTTTTTGCTATTGCCAGATGGCGGAGACCATGCCACTGATTCCACGGTGTCATGAAAACCTACAACGAGTCTGCAGAGGCTATTTTAATTGGATTGGGACGATTTGGGAAAAGACGAGTAACTGTATTGCTGGCAACACTGAGAAAAGGGCGGTATGCTGACTACAGTCCACTGTCCAGTTTCCTTTTTTTAGAGTTGCACAACGGCAGTGGCACCCATCAGGTTCTGTGGGCCTTGCCCGTGTCTGACTGCATTAGATAACTGCCAATATGCTCCTTTCCTAGTCTAAAGACGGCCCAGTGCGCTTGGTAACGAGAAAATGCAGCACGCCTATGATATAGAGCCCTTCACCAGACGTGGATATGGTTTGGCTCCTTGATATTATGGTCGGCATGCTTCCTATCGCATAATATAACTAATTTATTTAACTGTCGTCACTTATAAACACCGTTAGGGTAAGAGAACAGCAGTTCACATGCGGAGGTGCAGATCCCGAGGACAAGGCCAGAAGTGGCGCTAGTCTTCGTTTATTCTAGTTCACTATGACTGTCGACATTCACTAGGATCAAGTCAGCGACCTAGAGTCTTTTCATTGGGAATCTGTCGCATGGGCTAGAGTGCAGGTACATAAGGTCAACATTAGTCCCACTCGAGGGAACTCATTGATGACTTCCTTGCGGATCGCATGTGGGCGATCGAGGATGTCCCTGAAATGATCCAACCAGCGCTCCCGAATCCGCCGTATCCCCGAAAATAAGGTTGTGCTGCCTGAAGTGAAGGACAGCGATGCCCCGCTGGGTTAAGGATCATGCACAACCTTGATGGACGCGAAGTGCTTTATTTATCACGGTTAGCGTTTCCTGAGATTTCTTCTGTCCTGCCAGTCAACAAGCCGTTCTGCACTTTTCAGTCCTTGTTTTACTTGACATTGACAGTTGGAAACCACGGCTTGGTTTGTGATAATCCTGTTATTTGCATGCGTCCTGTAACGCTCAATATTTTCCGGAAGGAGACGCTCGGATTCTTCGTTTTTGTCGTCGAAACAGTCAGGATATTTCCAGTGCGGGTGCGGGGACTTGTGTAACCACAGGATAGATAGTATCCACGCAATCAGTTTCGTTCGCTTTCAGCATCCTTAACACCCAACGTTTGCATTTCCACTAGACCGGCGTTCACTTTCCCGGTGCTGTCCAGTCGGTGTTGAGGCGTGTCCTAGATTGCTGCACACTTTTTGGTGTACTTCAGTGACATTCCCGTTCTGACTTTGCTGACTCGCCTTCGAGACGGTTAGGAGGTGGTGGGATGGGAGAAGACTAGTTGTCAGAAGTTTTCGTTTGGAGTATGTCCCAGCAGGCGAAAACTGTTGCCGTTGAACGTACACGCTCTGTGGCGTTATCTACGCGACCCTCGAATATGACGGCTCGATCTTCACAGGCGACAAGGTCCATCAGTGTGCTGGGCGCACAGTGACCACCGGCACGTGAGTTCGCCTATAGTGGTGCAGGCTTGCGCAGCGTCTGACTCGCACAGTACCCCAGTAACCATCGTATTCTAGTGGCAATGAATAGCCAGGACGGCCGAAGATGAGTGCTTGTTCAGTGGTTGATAGTCAGCCAGTCTGCCTACGCGCACCACACATGAACTAACTCTCAACTTTTAATGCACCAAGTATGCAAGAGAGGGCCTCGGGCATCGCATAAGCGAGGTTGCCATAGGAGTTATGTGAAAAAGGGAGCATTACAGCCTAACTCTCAGTCGTGAACGGAGTTGAGTTACCCAATCAGTAATGGTCTTCCCCACTATGACTGTTAGAGCGTTGTGACAGTTAGAAGATGCGTCCGGTTGTCTGTAGTGAGGAAAGTAAGCTTTGAAACGACAACATTCTCCCATTTCCTTG